ATAGCAGTTTCATCCATTCCTTCACTGAGCCTAGTGGTAATCGTCTTGGTCACCTAAAAAATAAATGTAAGGGTAAGTACTCTACACTATCACACATATTAACAAGCATAGAGTCTCACCTTGCTCATTCCATACATATTCTAAATCATGCATCAACAAGTATAAGGCATTAATTCCATCATTTCATTCTCAATCACAAACAGGTGTGCTCACTGCACCATCAAACATTCATCATACACACACACGTGCACTCACTGCATGTTAGTCATGCTCACTGTTGCACTATGATCACAGTTTCTTGATGCCCTCAACCTCAGAGACTTACTTAATTCACATCATTGATGGTTGCCGGATAACCCCCTTCTCACAGATACAACGTGTGTAGTTATGGGCCCCTTAGCAAAAGTGTTAGTCAGAGGCCGAGTCAGGAGGAGAGTGTGTGACCTGTGGTGTACTGATGAATCCATATTTTGACTGATATTTTAGCATAATTCTAACATAAATGATAAGAAAAATATATAAAGAAAGCAGAAAAACTTAGAAAAAGAGAAAGAATTGAATTTTGTTTACATATGTAGTTATTTTAGCAATTGTGAAATTTTTGCTTAGAAATTAAGTTTTTAATCTTGTTTTTGTAGGAATAAATTGAGCAAGGATCATATTCATGGAAGTTTGATGACAAGGAAGAGGAAAGAAGCAAGTCTGGACTCCAAAAACTCAAGAATAATAAATTGCAGACTGGGCGTGATCACTATTGTCAGTGAAAGTGATCACTTCAGAACTCAAAGAAAAGTGAAGCCTGGGCGTTATCACTTTTATTATTAAAAGTGATAGTTCCAGAGAGGCAAAATATTAGGAAAGCTCTGCGTAACAACTATTGTCATCAAAAGTGATCGTTCTAGAAAATCTTCAACTTGGCGAGCTGCGCGTAGTCACTTTTATCAGAAAAAGTGATAACGCGCAACTACCTTGGCTCTGCGTTGTCACTTTTATCATCAAGAGTGATAGTTCCAGAGAGCTCTCAATATCAGGAAAATGCGCGTGGCCACTATTTCTGGGAAAAGTGTTAACGTGCAACCAAAAACTCTCTGCGTAACTACTATTTCTCATAAAAGTGATGACGTGAAAATCTGGGAAATTTTATAAATACCAGAAACGATCCGGAAAAAAGGGATTCTGTTCATTTTCAATTTTTTTAGTTAGTTTCTGGTTAGAGGAAGTGAGAGAGAGGAGTGGGGATTCAGATATTGGAACTTCACGAAGAGGAATTGGAGTGGAGCAAGCTTCCATGGCGTTTCTGAGTTTCTTCTTCTCTTCTTCTCTTTCTTTTTCTTCTTCTGCTGCCATGGCTGTGTAATTCGTTCATAGTTAGGGATTGTAGATCTGAAATGAACATGTTGAATTGATTTGGATCTGGATTTCAAGCTTTGGAATAGATTGAGTGATTGATTCTGAACTTCACGTGTGAATTGAATGGAAATTTGATTAACTAAATTCAGAGGAACCTTTGTCAATGGAAATTGAATTTGTTCTTCAGATCTGAACCAATCACCGAGATTTTAGTTTTCTTAGGGATAAGGAACTTTGATCTTGCAATCTTTTGGTTTCTTACACTTAAAGCAACATTGAATTGAATTAGATCTAAGGAATTAGAATGGTTTAATTGAATGTTAGGTTCACTGAGTTAAGGAATTAACCTCTGAATAGTATAATGTGAAACTGATTGTCATTCTTTCCAATTGCTTGTTAATTCAGAACTTTATTGATTAAACATTGGAGTTTTGGTGAAGCAATTCCCTAGCTATGGTTTCTCCCTCTGTTATCACATAACTGTGTGTTCATTGTTTTGTTTTCTGCAAGTTCATTTTACTTTTAATTGTTCCAGTTTGCTGTTATTAGATGTTACCACTCTCCTTACAATTTCGAAAAAGCTTAAATGGTTATAATTCTATGAAGTGATACTTGAATCTAAATTCCCTGTGGAGACGATATTTGGATCTTAAATTTACTCATCACTTGCTGCAATCCTAGTGCACTTGCTAGTGTAGATTGCTAACAACATGTACCCACGCTCACTGTTAATGTCACCACCACCCTCTCTTCTTCAAGGTATTTCTACTGCCCCATCTTCCACACCCCTATTATATCGCTGAACCATTTATAATTTTCCCACATTTCAGACACAACCACAATCGCATTGAACATGCCATTTCCACCCATATTCAACCATTTCATATTGTTCATCATCGACAAATGGCATGCAATCACAAACAATTATCCACATCTTCAATCACATCATTACATTTAATTTCACACATGACACGTATGCCCGCATTCAATCACATTACACTTAAACATCAACACTCTATCACAATCAAATTACTACATCACACACATTATGCTTAATGTCCATTACACTATAATCCACGCAATCTTTTCACCACAATCTCACTACAATCAAGTTACTTTCATTAAAACACTCGTATTCGAATATTCCAATCACTCTCATTCACAAACATAATCATACAAACGAATTCTAAGCATAAGAGATAGGGTAGAGTCCCCCCTTACCTCAAATCGAAGACCCAAACACGAAATCAACAAAGAATGTGCTCTCCACATGAGTTCCATCCTAAATACATGGAAAACTCCATGAGAAATCAAAAGAAAAAGGAAGAGGAATGGAAAACTCCTTACCCTTACGGGTCAGCTTTCTCAAAGGTAAAGCTATTTTAGAAAACCCTTCAATGAATTTCCTATAATAGCCCGCTAGTCCTAGGAAACTGCAGATTTTCGTCACATTCTTTAGTCTCAGCCATTGGGTTACCACTTCCACCTTCGCGGGATCTACCATAATTCCATCTTTAGACACTACATGCCCTAAAAACTGAAAATCGGAACCCTAACTCTTAAAGCTTACCTCCAAGCGTCCCAAACACAATTCAACCTTCAATCCAACTCACAAACGGCTTTGGAGGCAGTTTAATTGGTAAGAACGAGTTAGGAATGGATATAATTGGAAGAGAGATAAAGAGAAAAGAGTGGGAATGTGTTTCCCAAACTCTAAACCCCTCAAATACTCTTTTGGTCGCAATACTCTCACTACGGCAAGCCATCTCTCGCTGCAGCGAGACCCTTCCTCGCTACAGCAAAAATCTCAGAGAAAATTGCACTCTAGGTTTTGTAGAATCTCGCTACAGTGAAACTGCACTCAGAATTGCACCCCTCTTTATTACCTTCTCGCTACAGCGAGAAGCCTCTTGCTACAGCAAGAATACAACAGAATCACTCAACTCGCTCAGGGCCTTCTCGCTACAACTTCAAATCCCCTGCATTATACATTTAACCAAATTTTCAATCAATTCCAAACATACTCAACAATTTCAATTCAACCACAAACCAACATATACACTTATACTCACAGACTTATCCATATATATTTCTACACATGTATTCACATCATCATCATATAAATCGAACACAACAACTTATAGCAATCCACATATATTTATATTCATAAAACAATATATATATATATATATATATATATATATATATAGTTACAAAATTTGGGGCGTTACAATATCAACATTGAGCGTGGGTATACCACAGGCCATATACTCTCTTCCTGACTCGGCCTTTGACTAACATCTTTGCTTGGAGGACTCAATACCGCACACGTTGTATCCGTAGAGCGGGAGCTATCCGGCAACCATCCATGGTGTGAACTAAATAAGTCCCTAAGGTTGAGGGCATCAAGAATCTGTGATCACGGTGCCACAGTAAGCATGGCTACTTGTAGTGAGCGCATGTGTATGTGAATTGTTTGATAGTGCAGTGAGCGCACCTATTTGTGAAATGTTATAAAATATTAAAAAGTAGTAAATGTGTTTTTTGATGCATGAATTGAATTTTGTAATAAATATGTTTAATGTGTGAAGGTGAGACTATGTACTTGCGTGTGATAGTATAGAGTACTTACCCTTACATTTATTTTTCAGGTGACCAAGACGATCAACACCCAGCTCAGTGAAGGGATGGATGAAACTGCTATAGCACTTAGAAAGTTATTTTTGAAAACTATGATATATTTGAATTAGTCCTGTAGCAATTACTTGATTCAAATTGTATTTCATCCTTATTTTGAAAGACTTTATTGAAACCATGTGTTGGGAACTAATTGAATGAAAGTTTTATTTATTCCCAGTTATTGTGAAATTTACTTATTTTGGAAATTTAATTCAAGGTATTAGAAAAAAAAAACATATTAGAAAAATGTAACATTTCAATTAATAATGATAAAGGAAAAATTATTTATGAATATTATTGTCTTTCTAAGTCATATTAATTACCATTCCAAAATTCTACTACTGCTTATTCAACTTCTCTTGAACTTGTTATTCAGATATTTAGGGACCTTCATCTCGTCCTATAAATAATGGTGCAAGATATCATATAATTTTCATTGATCTCTTTTCATAATACACTTAGATATATTTTTTAATAGACAAGTCTCAAGATTTTTTGTATTTTAACATTTCAAAACTATGGTAGAACTTTAACTAAAACCACATCCAAAGGCAATTTAGACATACAATGCAAGATAATATCTTACTTTTTAACTTTATCTTAACCCAAATGAAATTACTAATAGGTTGTCATATACCTACATACATTAAAAAAATATGTTTGTAGCAAGGAAGAATAAACACATTATAGAAATTGATTTTTTTTCTCACTCTCAAATGCCTTTAAAATATAGGGATGAAACTTTTGCTACTGTTGCATATACTGTTAATCAATTACATAAATCATCTTTTAATTTTACCTGACCATTTGAAACTATTTTTCAAAAGGAACCAAAATACTTTTAATTAAAAGTTTTTGGTTGTGGATCTTATCCATATGTTAAGTCTTAAAATAAACATAAACTTCAACTCAAATCTCAACTTTGAATATTTGTTAGTATAGTGTATAACATAAATGTTTCAAACGTTTAGCTTTAGGTAGAAAAATTTATATAACTACAGATGTTATTTTTTATGAATTTGTATTTCCTTTCAAACAAAATGACAACAACAATGACAAATCAAGTTAGTCTAATAATTTCTCCTTCTTAGCTAATAGTGTACCACTCAATAAAGTAATTCATCATATTACTTCACAAAATACTCAAATAAATTATTTACCTTATGAACCTGCTACTAATAATTTAATTATTCCTTTAATGTCCAATGATATCAAAAATGAATTTACAAATAATGGTCAAAGCCAACATGAAGTCTCCAACCATACCTCTCAACTCAACACAAATGCATATCTTGTTATCACTAGATCCAAGGTTATGATTGGTAAGTATTAGGCTTTATTGAAAAACAACACTTAGTCTTTGGAACGTTATAGGTTGTAAGTGGGTCTTCAAACTTAACTATAATTTTGATGGCAACATAAATAAATACAAAGTTAGCCTTATTACAAAAGGTTTTCAGCAAACAAAAGGTTTTGACTTCAAGGAAATATTTGGTTCAATTGTAAAACCAAGCTCAATCAAAACTATTCTAACAATTGTTTTGTCCAAGTAGTAGCCAATAAGGTAATTTGACTTTAATAATGCTTTTTTAAATAGTGATTTGACTGAGAAAATGTTTGTGGGCAAATGTACCCGTCAAAAAGTTAAAAAAAAAGTTTTAAATTAAACTTTCAAAATATCGTCTCACAATTGTGATTAGACTATTAAAAAAAGAAATTAAGGCATATGGTTTTACTTTTACACTTCTTTATGTTTACTTTTAATCTAGTTCTAATTTTAGTTTCCTTATAATTTTCAACTACTCATACTAATTTATTAACACTCAATGGTCATGTAATGTTAATAGTTTTTTTTCCTAAGCTATTACCCTTAATGGTCATACAAGGTAAAATGAAGATAAAACATAAAGTAGCTTGTTAACCTATAAGTCCATTTAATTTCATGTGGCATGGTCGCCTACTATGTAATTAATTATGAGATGCTAAGAGTGACCAATTTCTAGCATACATTTATATGTACAAGATTGAAAACTAATCATAGACGAAAACTAAAATTATTATTAAATGTAAAGATCACATAAAGTCATGTAAAGGATTCAACATAACCCTAACTATGGATTTAGTCATTCATCGTAAAGTAAATAATCAAAACAACTATAAACAAATCCATTACTGGGCAAGTGCACCTATTGTCAGAGTAATTTTGCGAAAATTGGAGTACCAAGTGTTGTATCCACAGGGACTATTAAGAAGAATTGCTTCCTTGATTACCTAATTATTACTGAATATTGGTAAGAAATTATGTTGATAAATTTGCTAAACTAAGAAAATAACAATTTAAAAGAAACAGATTTCTATGATAATAAAGCCTAGAAAAGTATGACTAAGTGTATTCAAGAGAAAAAAGTGAGTATCTATGTTGTAAATCCTCCTAAATGTCTAAATAACTGAAATTCTCCTTCAACTACTTAGTTCTAGCCCCTTGTTGCTGCAGGAATTCCTTAAATAAACTAATATCTTTCTTAAGAATAATAGTTCCTAACCTTCGGTTGATTAATCAGAATCTCTTCCTTAATTAGTTCTCCTAGGTTGCATTAAGTTCATTATGAATTCCATAATTAGGGTTATTCCTAATATAGAAAACTCATGTCTTTCTATCTCTAAAAATACATTTAAGTCCTTTTAATTGAGCAATGGTAAATTCCTACAGGATTTTTACTCAAAACCAAATAAGAAAATAAGATAGGAGGCAATTAATACTACTCAATTAAACTCAAGAGAAGAGAACATGAAATAACATTTAGAAGAATTCCAGAAGGTTTGGTCAAATAGGATTCATTACGTCTAGATACTCAAAGAAAAATTAAAACCTAAACATGTCGAAACTACAATTACTAAAGAAAGAAATTCCAGATCTTCATTGCATCCTCCCAGCGTCACTAACTCTTTCTTTCCCAAAAACAGCGTCTCCTAGGTTTCTGTGTCAAGTTTTCTTTTATATGAGTGGTTCTAAGGTTCATCTTATCGTAAAAGTTTAATTCTGATGAAAATTAAAAGTACACACCCCATGTACACGACCAGTACTTTGGCCGTGTGCATCTCTGGTCTCTAAAAATTGCCACTTGAAAGCTCTTTTGAAAAGTACACGCTCATGTACACGGTCATGTACCTTGACCGTGTACATATCTGGTTTTGATGACGTACTTTAATTGACGCAATCAGTAAGATACACGCTCATATACACGTGCGTGTACTTTCCTGTGTATATCTCTGCCTCTGATTATGTGCTTGATTGATGCAACCAGTGAGATATACGCTCAAATACACGGCCATGTACTTGCCCGTTGTATATCCCTGGTTCTGATTTTTGCTTCAAGTCCCACTATCCTTTAAAGCTTTTGATTCTTGATCCTTTTTTTTTTCTAAAATATGAACAAAATGTACTTAATAATGAATTCTCTCAATGAATAACTCAAAAATCTCAATTATCATTCATGAATTACATTATAAGACCAAGTGTGGAATGAATTTATCAAACCCTAACTATGGATTTAGTCATTCATCGTAAAGTAAATAATCAAAACAACTATAAACAAATCCATAGACATGAAAGAAGTATGCAAACAAGAAAATTTCTCTAAGAGAAGGGAATGAAAAGAGTTCTTGTTCTTCAAACACACTTTCGATCACTTGCTTGGACTTCAAAGAAACTTTATTTGTCTTTACTAGTAATCTTCACTCTTAATGACTCCAAAGAAACTTTATTTGTCTTTATCCCTCCAGGTTCTTTAAATAGGCTTCAGAATCCACAAGAGATTAAGGTTGTTGCCTCTAAGAGAATATACTTTATCTCTAATAAAGATATGACGTATCACGAGAGAGAGAGATATAATTTTCTGTTGCCAAATTTAAAGTTTGAATTCTCTCTTTCCAGGTCCCTTAAAAAATCTTCAAGTTAAATCTCCCAACGCAAGCATGATCATGCTACTCATTATGCATGATCTTGCATAGTCCACGAAACACTCTCGTGTTGGTTTCTAAGCAAGGTCGTGTTGGCTACTAGGCAAGACCCATTTTTTCATCCAATTTAGGTCTAAAAAGTACTTCAAAATTCTACTAATGTTCTCATTATGCTAACTACAATAAATATTAAGATAATCATTGCATACATTCATAAAATAGGACCAAAACATATGAATATAAGTCCTAAAAATATATCAAAATATAGACTTATCAGAAAGTATACATGTTGCAACCTCTAAGTTTTTCCTAAGGACCTCTAACATGGTTTGTAAACTTACTAAGGCTCTTTATGGCTTAAAATAGGCTGTTAGGGCTTGGTTTAACAAAGTCAACTCTATCTTATCTTGTTTTGGATTTATATTGGTTAAATGCAATTCATCCTTGTTTCATAAAGTTACAACCAAAGGAACCAACTTCCTCCTAGTCTATGTAGATGATCTAATAACTAGTGGTGATTCATCTCATGCCAACTTATTCTTGATCACATAATACAATCATTTTTTCCTTTAAAGGATTTAGGGGATTTATATTATTTTTTTAGCGTAGAAGCAACAAAAACAAAAGAGTGAATTTTTCAAACTAAATATATCTCTAACTTGTTACAAAAATAAATACAAAAATTGCAAACTCACACCTACTTCCATGACATTTGGTATTAAGTTGTTAGCCTGTGAATGATTACATTTTCCTATTCCTTCACTGTATAGATCTATAGTTGGAGCTCTACAGTACGTAATTTTCACTTGGCCAAACATTACTTACTATGTGAATAAAGTTTATCAATTCATGTCAAATACTTTTGACTATTATTAGGCATTAAAAAGGTTCATGCAATACTTACAAGAAACTTTAAAACATGGCCTAAATCATTGACCACCAACTAATTTTGAAACACTATACTTATTGACTTAGACTGGAGATCAAATCCAAATGACAAAAAAATAACATACAACATATTTGTTATCTTGGGCACAATTTAATCTATTGGATGACAAAGAAAGAATCAATTATTTCTATCTAGTATAAAGACTAAATATAAAAGTATTGCCTATCACTAACTTTATTTGACTAGAGACTTACTTCATGAACTACAAGTATTCCTATCTTCATATTCACTATCAATATTTTGTGATAATTTTAGTGTTGTTTTTTTCGCAGTCAATCCTATTTTTACATTTTCAAATAAAACACTTCCAACTAAACTTATACTTTATAAGGGAAAGAATGTTTTAATTTTAAATTTCAATTATTTCAATTATTCACATCCTTATCACTTCTCAAGTACCTAATAAGTTATTTTTTCCTCATCATTTCATTAATTTAGTTCCAAGCTCAATGACTTAGTTGAACTTTTGCCTAAGTTTAAGAGAGTTTGAAAAGGGGAATAGTAACAATTTAAAGTTAGATAGTTCAACAATTACGAGGTTGCTATTATTATTCTTTTTCACATACTTTTCTATTGTATTAAGTGTATTCAACATATATATATATATATATATATATATATATATATATATTTAATGAAATAAGAAAAAGAAAAAATTATATCAAAATAAAAATAAAAAATAACATTCCTTCCTTTACATTATAACCTCAAAACAAAGCAATCGTGAAAACTAACTTTGATTATGAGATTTCTTTTATGTGATAGTACCAGTGTAAATCAACCTAATTGGTTAAATCAATAATTTAACTGGAAAGAAAAAGACTTCCTTAACAATTATCATGTAAAACAGTACAGAAAAGTTGCTTTGATTTTTTATTGTAAATTTTTTGTTGATACATTTTAAATATAACTGCTAAGAAAGTATTGTTCTTTTCTTAACAATGCTCAATTTAACCGTTAGGAAAAAATTATCCTAGCCATTAACTTAACAACCACTAAAAAGGGCAAAACTATTGTGTTGCCATTTCTATTAACAGTGATCTTGTTACGACTACTAACAGACTCAAGGATTTCATATATTAACGGTTAGATATAAATCCTTAAAAGACATAAAATACCTCTTATTAAAAAAAATAGAATTTCTATACTTCACAGATTGAGGTAAATTAGTACTGTGTCTGTTTTACATTATTTTTAAATTAAAATTTTACTGCAATAGTTGACAATAAAATTTGGCAAAGTTAGCATAGATTATTAAAGAATGTTTTAAAATTTAATCTTTAACCATGCTTCCTAGTGCAAGACATGACTAAAGGCTATATATTATCAAAACATCTAACAACCTAGCAATGCCATGTGGCCTTTGTCGACGTGGTATATTTTTCCGTTATTAAAAGCGGTTAGCCAATGATTATTTTTCTTCTTGTTTAATACGCTGAATTCTAATTTCAATTCCTTTCAAATCTTGGTTCTTTTGTCTTGCCTCATGGTATTATTGCAAAAGCATGTATATATATGTGAACATAATCAAAATGCTTTAACTTTTAGGACAAAGTATCCACACTTGGATCTCCATATTTCTTCCCGGCCAGCTTGCTAACAGTTTTTCTCACGTTCGGTTTTAAGTTTTCACAGTGATTTAGACTTCACAAATTGAAAAATATTTTGAAACTTACTGCATAAAAGAGCGAGCCACCGGCAACACATATAATAGCCAACTATTATATAGTCCGAGGAATCATCCTAGAAGATGGAGAACCGTCCTTCAGTTGTAATCAATAATGGTAAAATTGGTTTCTCTACTCCAAGGTTTACACCTGAAGGAGATGCAGGATGGTTTTCAGAGTATTCTCCATTATGGCCAGGTGGGTTTACCTGAATATATATAAGTTGAGTTTTTATTTTTTTCTCAATCATCTTTATGTTGCTCAGTGATCAATGACATATATCATGTTGTACCCTATATATCCACTTAAGATCCACTTCTAGATATGAAATCATATGTATCTTTCACTCATTCAGAGAAAATGCAGGGGATTTAAATTACACTAAGTTTTGTCAAGCTTATTGTTAATCTGTCCTTTTTTCTAATACTATTAAAGTTGATGCATTTGTTGATGTCCTTGAATTCTTAAAGTTTAGAAAAGGCCCATCAATTGAAAATTATGAAATATTTTGCATGCCCTCGTTAATATATTTCCTCGGCATCGGGCCATGCTTTAGGTGCAAGGGTAATAATATTTTTGTCATAATGTTGTGTAAAATGCATGCATGTCATGTTAATGAATTGTTCATATTTTAATCCTCCCCCTCCCCCACACACATTCCTTAAGGAACAATCGAAATGTATTGTCGCATGGACAGGTAAGGGTAGATTATTGCCGATGTCATCGACCTCAGATTTGATTTTCATGTAATAAACCAAAAAGATTAAACGTGTCGCTTCTAGCGGAGACACTTTCCAACAAAGATAAATTTCCATTGTATTTAATTTCCTTTGGATTTTTGGAAGTCTTATTGTTGAATTCAAAACAAAGATATCACTAAGCAGTTATTATTCTGGATAATTGGAATGATCATGTTTCTAATATTCACCTACAAAAGTTACAATGAAGCTATAACCAAGTTGATGGACGTGTATTGCAGGACAAGCACATTTCTTGAAGGTGGAAAAGATTTATTTTCAAGGAAAATCTAAATACCAAAATATGCTAGTTTTTCAGGCGAGTACTACTACAAAATTATTTGGCTTGATCGATATTAAATTTCGTAAAATGTCTACAAATTTTGAGAATTGTGCTTCTTACTGAAAGTGGAATGTTAATTAAATTGCAGTCATCAACATATGGTAAGGTTTTTGTCTTGGATGGAGCACTCCAACTTACTGAGAAGGACGAATGTTCTTACCAAGAAATGATGACTCACCTTCCTCTCTGTTCTATCCCAAACCCAAAAAAGGTTTCGATATATGAGCCAAAGTGTTACATATCAAATCATTTCAATGCCGCAACAGTTTATAAGTGTGTCAAACCATAATTGGTAGAAATCTCTGACATTTTATTTTTCCTTGTCCTCTCATGTTCGTAGGTTTTGCTCATTGGTGGTGGAGATGGTGGCATCCTAAGGGAAATTTCCCGTCACTCATCTGTTGAACAGATCGACATATGTGAAATAGACACAATGCTGATTGATGTAAGCAAAATGTTTGACCTCTTTTCTGATAGCCAAAGAGTCAAAAAATCTGGCTTTATGCACGTATAGGATAATTAAAGTGTCTAACTGTTTGTATCCAAACTTTTATTTTTCTCCAATTAAGTAATGAATACATAAAACATTGTGAAATTCAATTAAACAATGGGTTAAACTAATTATTTAGTGTCTAAATTTTTCAGGTCTATAAAGAATTTTTCCCACATGTGGCAGTTGGATACAAGGACTCTCGAGTCAGGCTTCATGTTATAGATGGTACATTCAAAATATATATTATCTTATTATTGTAGTTGTTGTGTGATGTGTTTTCTTCTTGAAACTAGCAGGAGCTATTTTTCTGAACTCTGTCCCAAGAGGCACCTATGATGCAATAATAGTGGATGCCTTCGACCCTATAAGTATGTCTTGTCTTTTCTATTTGTTGATTTTGAATGTTGATAAATTTTATTATGTTCAGTGATAGTTAAGTGTCACAAATGGTTCCAGGGCCTGATCATGAGCTTTTTGAATCTCAGTTTTTTGAACTGGTTTCAAAAGCTCTTCGTCCAGGAGGAGTCTTGTGCATCCAAGCAGAGAGTATTTGGTTTCGGTCATTGAATATTGAAGAACTCCTCACCAAATGCCGCCAAACATTCAAAGGCTCCACTGATTATGCATGGACAACTGTCCCTGCATATCCAAGGCAAGCATCATTATATCCTCCTATGCCATATGAACATGGAACCACCAAAATGACGTGAATTAACATAAGTTCACTAAGGCCATTTTTCTTTAATACTTGGTGGAGAGGATAAGGGAATAAAATTAATAAAATAGGATAAAATAATATATTTAATTTGTTATTATGGTATACATCAAATATAAAGTAATGTAAAAACATATCTTGCTATTATTTTTCTCTCTTTTCTTATCATTAAATGGCTAGTCCACTAAACAAGTTCTCAATGAATGAAATTAATGCTTGCAAGAGTATTTCGCCATTCATTTGTTTTCTTTGGTAGTATTTGATGTGTAGATAAAACGGAATCAAACATCATGTTCCACCTTTTTCAGTAGAACTCGTGTATCGTATTAACTCAACTTACTCCATTATATTTTTAAAACTTGCCAAACAAAATAAAACTTACATATGATCCCTCTTGCACTCTTATGTTTATCAAATGTTATCTTTGGTTTCTTTTCTTTTAGTGGGGTCATTGGTTTCTTGCTTTGTTCCACCGAAGGTCCATACGTCGACTTCAGAAGTCCAATTAACCCGATCAATCCCGAAAATTATGGCATATCAAAGCAACCCTTGAAGTTTTACAATTCAGAGGTAAGATGGCATTCTAAATATGCGCCATCAGAAATATTTGACATCATATTTTGTGTTTCTTTAAATCTTTTCCATGTGTGTATCCATTTCAGGTTCATTCAGCTTCGTTTTGTTTGCCATCTTTTGCCAAAAGAGTGCAAAAGGAATTTGATGGTATAAGGACAGAGACATGATCTTATAGTTGCAAGTATGTGTGGTACAAATACCGACAGCACCGCATGCCTCATTCACACCCATTCCGACAATAATCTTTGCAAAGTCCGATTCCATTATTGTGTCAGTTTTTTCAAAAACTTGTACTTTGTTATACTGAAACGTTCTAGTGTGTTATTATGCCTTCAAAAATATCATATTTGGTTGTTTTTACAAGAAATAGTCACTAATATTTTTTTATTTTAATTGTAAGAAACAAATATTTTTTTAAAATATGTTACTTCATTATTTTTTTAATTTTTATTGATTATAAAATGTATATTAACAAGATACTCATTTATTATGCATGTGAGTGAATATATTTATTTAATAAATGCATAAATTATCAATTTAATTATCTAATATTATAAGTACTTTTGGAATATAATATAATTTTATGATATATAAATATTTATTATTAATCTTAATAAATTAATTATTTATCTTATAGAAAAGAAACGAAGCGAATAACTACTTCACAAATTGCAATTAAACAGATAAGTGAAACGATATTTAATAATTTTATTTATTTTAAGTAAAGTATCAATAAGTTTTTAACATTGCCAACGTTGCTTAATTTGTCTTTATTATTGGATCGGTTTGTTTCAATTTTTGAAATCAGTGATTTTTATAATATATAAAAACTTATGTTACAGATTTTATAAAAATTAGAAGGTACTTTTTGTTTGGTTACAATTATAATTATTTTACTGAATAGTTATATTTTCAGTCTTTTGTCTATAGTTATTCAAAACAACTTCTCTAAAACAAAAAGTTAAAATCAGATTACTTTTAGCCTCTAATTTTTTCATAATCTTAAACAAAGAATCTAAAAATATGAAAGTTATTTTTAAAAATTGTTTCGTTTTTATATAAGAAGATCTTAAATTTATGAGCTCTTAATCTTTAACATCAGTTAGTATCAACTAAATTGGTTCATAACTTTAATTTGTATTAATTAATTTAATTTTTTATATTTAGAGATCGAATTAAATAATGGTATTTAGGGCAGTGAATATATTTTCTAACTTCTTAAGGTAAGAAACTAAATTAATAGATTATGGCTTAATTTGGATAAACTTTTTTAATAAGTATTTGTTGAAGTCAAACATCAAGTAATCAAATAAAAAAATATAAGTTAAAATCGATTTATATTTTTTCTTTACTTTTTTAGAATCTCTTTCATTTAACTTTCTAAATTTTAAGGAGAAAAGTTGTTTTTAAATTAAAAAAGAAATATTATTTATTTTTTATACTATTTTTTATATAAAAACTTATCTAAAAACTTACCCAGATTGAACTATATAAATTAAAAATATATATTGATAGTTATTAAATTTAGAGACTTAAATTATTTTTCTTACCATAAAAGATAAATTGATATATAACAATTTTAATAATTAAATTCTATGTATTCCCTGCATGTTGAGGGTACAAATCATTTTAATTTTGGACTAATAGTAAAGAGGTATTGAGTGGGGTAAATAAGTGGGCAATATGAGGAAGACAAGAAAAACATAATTGCGCCTAACTAACAAGATATTGGTGCTGATTTTCTATTGGATTTCTTCAGATGTTCTTCTCATGGCATTGAGATGAACAAATGATGGAATGCAATTTGTCACTGTCCCTATTACAAAATCCCTTGGGAGGGTGGTATGTCTTTATCCAAAATGGACTCAAAAGGAGAGTTATAAACATATCCATCATCGCTACTTTGTCTCCATGAAAGTCAGCAACTTGGAGGCACAATTCAACCCTAATGGCACTGCGTGTCCCTGCAAGATTTCCCACTCTTTATCAATAGAAAATGTTAACCCTTTTTCGGGGCTGCTTATGTGACATGTTCTCGGTGGTTGAAACTTGAAACTATTTATGGAACTCTCATGATTGCGCAACGTGGAATCAAGTCCTCGAATCTATTTGTGAGATTCACCACATCTAAATCACCATCTTACTTGCGATATCGTCGTTTTTGAGAAGAAATTATATATATTAAGATATGAAATTATTTTAATATAACCATTTGTTTGTTTCTATCTTTATTTTAAATTTTAAAATAATTTTTAAAAACTGTTTTTAAGAAAAAAATAAAAAACAAATATACTTAGATTTTTTTTTTATGTACCTTTCATTAGTGACTGTTTTAAATTTTTTGAATTGCTCAATTAATGTAAAAATTTCATTTATTATATTTTTAATTTCTATATGAGTAAAAGCAAAAACCTAGATATAAATATTTTTAAAATTATTCTCTATTTAAAAAAATTGAAGTTTTAATCCAAAAATAAGCTCAATATACATCACCAAGGTAAAATTCAAACTTTAATCCAAAAATAACAGTAAATATATATATATATATATATATATATATTATATTTAAGTTTAATTTACAAAGAGTATCAGTAAAAATATAATAATTAATATTTTCTTAAACTTCTCCAAAAGAACAAATTCCATTTTCACTCTAGACAAATAATTAGAAACAAAGATAGTATATTATTATATACTGTTGTTATTTTTATTTTATTTCAATATAAATTTTACGAACGTAATGATGCACCGATCGATATTTCAAAGCCCAAGAGATCATATTATATGGTTGTACATTGGAAATACTAAAAGAAACTGTTTAAAATTCCCACTGTTGTCCTATGAAAAAAAATTTCAATAGGCACTAGGTCTATCGAATTTGCAACTATTGAGACTAAAATATAAAAAATAAAAAGTTTTGTTAACATTATTTTTAGAGAATTATTTATTATATTTTTATAATTTTAATATGTCTATTTTTTTTTATAAAAATTTTTAATTCGTGAATGTTTAGATTCGTCTCTAAAAATTAAAATTAATAAAATCTAAAAATAAAATAGTTAAATGAATTGCAATTTATAAGAATAATTAAAAATAAAAATATAACATGAAAAAGAAGTAAAACAATAACAAAAGAAACAAACACCCATTATAGAAACTAATTATGAATAAGCTTAGAACTATAGTTTCATTTTTAAGCTTACTATATTTTTTTCTCTAATTTTTTTTTATAAATTACGTTTTGGTTAATTGATAATTATTCATTATAATTCTACTATTATTTAATAATCATGTAATAACACTATTTTTATTTTCATATTACTATCCCGATCATGCAAGATAATTAATTAAAAAATATAAAAATCTAACAAAATTATTAATTAAATAACTGATCAGAAATATAAAATTCTGATTGATTCTTTAAGATTCTTGATTACATTTATCTTATAGGTCCACTAATAAGATGATAGTATAATCGCCTCTTATCTATTTGATTAAGGGTACCGGTGTTATAAGATTGATTCTAATAACCGAATGAAATCAATTGAATATAATTGACACAAGAGACAAACATTCATTAGAGAAAGTATGGTTGAAATCAAGTTATATAAAAAAAATCCACCATAGCTTCATGTACAATGATTTAATTACTCATATTATTTAATGAAAATATAAAAGCTAAACAAATAATAAAATTAATTTAAGTTTAATTATATTTTTGTCTCTATATATGATGAGTCCACATTTTATTAGTTTTTTTACTTGTCATTTTAATGTTTCTTAATTTAAAAAGTAAACTTAGGAATTGTAAATAACATAAAAACATAATTTTTGTCAAATATTATAGGTTTCTTAATTTTTGGTTAATTTACATTGATTTACATAGATAAAGTTTGCAATTTTGATCATTTAAATAATTGTGCAGGAGTTTCTAGACTTTTTTCATGAATTTTTAGCATTTGAGAAAGTTTGAGGTGAAAGTGATCACTTTGGAGTCCATATGAACACTACAGCAAGTTAGTTCCAAAAAGGTAGACCAGAGTGATCACTATGAACCCATAGTGACAACTCCAGAGAGGCCAAAAAGTACAAGACTTGCACGTAGCTACTATGGAACCATAGTAGACACTCTGGAGCAGCCAAAGTTATCACTCTGATGTCAAAGTGACAACTCCAGAGAGGCTAAAAACACAGGACCTGCACATAAACACTATAGAGCGAGAGTAAACACTTTGGGGCGTTGCGCGTTATCACTATGAAGCCAAAGTGACAACTTCAGAGAGGCCCAAATCACAGGTCTTGCGCGTAACCACAATGGAGTGAGCGTAAACACTATGGAACACTGCACGTTATCATTATGAAACCATAGTTGTCACTTTGGGCAAAAAAATTTCTGCACTATACATAGGATTTGAGAAATTAGGGTAGGGAGCTTCTTACATTTCTTTAGATTCTTTTGCCACTTTTGGAGCATTTTGCAGAGCTTAGGATCCTTGGGTGACAGCAAAGGCTAATCTTAGGGTTTGATTTACAATTTCTCTTCATTTTCTTTTAATTCTTGCATTATGATGTTGATTTTCCTTTGTTTCCATCTTGAATTTGTAAGACCCATCCCTATGGAGGGCTAAACTTTCTTGTAATCCTTAGTGAGTTCATGGGTTCTTGAATCCCTGGGTATAAATGTCAATATAATTCCCTTTCTCTCATGAATTTACATTTTCCAACTCTTTGAATTGAATTAATGGTTGAATGAGGGGGACATTGCTTAATTAACCCTAATTTGTTTTAATGAAATTCTTAACTTAGTTTGCTTAATCCTAAGTTAATTTCTAAGGTAGCGTTATCTTGGGGATGAGATATTGGAGCCCATGTAAATTGCTTAATTTGTATGGAATTTTAAGGTTAATTCTTGCTTTTTGAGTTACCCTAATTCAGAGAAAGAGGAAAAGTATTGAATCTTGAGAGGGATAAGGATAGAATTGCATGAACAAACTAAGGATTGCATATTTCATTGATTGGATTCATTATTTTCACCACTGAATTTACATTAAAATTGAAATTACACAAAACCCCCTTGTTTTAATTGCCATTTGAATTTTTCTGCATTTTTGCTGTTTCATTTAGTTTACTTCTTTCCATTATTTATAGTTAATCTCTAGTGCATGAC